TGACAAATGCTCAGAATTCCATTATGTATGATAAGTACTGTCCTTTTTGAAATAAAGGAGATTATTTAATCTGTGGATGGTGACTATCAGTGGAATCCAAGATAACGCGCATTTCGTCCTATTTGGGACTCGTCAACCGGAAGGATGTACCTGCATTTCCCAGTCAGTGAATGATGGTATTCCCACCGAGGCTCGAACCCAGTGCCCATAGTTTCAAATGCCAAAGCGTTATCCACTAGACCACTTGGGCCACGACAGCCACCTCTTGTGCAACGGGTCATATTAATTATTTAATTGAATTTTAGATTTTCCCGTCGATTGATTAGACCGAAGTGCTCGGTCTCAGGTTGACATGTCGGTTTCTTGTGCATATGCTTCGACGATGTCTGGGCATGTAATTAGAATTTAATTTGTGGATGGTGACTGTCAGTGGAATTCAGGATGCGCCAACATGTTAACCTGAGACCGAACACTTCGGTCCAATAATCGACGGGAAAATTTAAAATTCATTTAAAGTAGATTATTATTATAAAATTTATTCATATTCCCTGTAGTAAGCTATACCGACTTTCTATATTGAATATACATTGTTCTATTACTTTCAAACTATTCCAGTGGTCTTAATTAACTCTATTCTTAAATAAGACATCCTCAAAAGACAAATAAATGTTGAGGGAAGATGTCATTTCATAGTTTCTGTACAATCACTTTATAACTAGTCACTGAATCGGGTCCCAGTGGCTTAGTGGTCAACGAGTTCGGTTGCCTTGCAACTGGAAGGTCCTGGGTTCGAACCCCTGTGGGTGGGTGTGTACTGCTGACGACATCAAAACTAAGGTGACGAAACAGCTGTCCAGTACTCCCTGTCTGGTGATTCCCAATCGTTCTCTAACTGATGTCAGCTCATGATGAAATCCTCCAAGAAGTAGAAAAAAATCCAATAAAACGTTTCACAACTAATCAGTTATGTAAAATGAAAGTGTGTAATAATAATAACAATATAAGTATAAAACTTGGGCATTGTGGTAGAGTACAACTCCATTATGTATGAGATTTTATTTTGATAAATCACACAGTGTAGTGTTGTACAGTAATATTGAGTGATGACCACGTTTCGAGCACAAATTATTACTCATAATCATATCTAATTACTCACACAACTTTTGACTTCATTTATATACATGTGTGGAATCGATTAGATATTGGAATAAAAATCAATATAAGATAAAGTACATTCAGAAATAATAATATGAGTGTTATCAATCAAATACAATCAGATGGGAAATAAGACGAGTGTTTTGATAGTCAAAATAAATAAGTAACTTGTTAGAATGTTGTGATGTGCTTGAATTGAAATAGAAAAGAATTTAAGATTATTTATTATCCTCCTCTGATTTGACTGACTGGTGGTAATAATATCCTCCATATTTCTGGTATTTGCATTGAGTTATTTCTGTTGCCTCTGTTGGGTGTTGTAGACTGGATGAACCAGGATTCAGTAATCAACTTCTCTCTCGCTCTCCACCTACATAGATTACTTCTTAGAATTTTCACCCTCTCCCACCCTATTGTGTGAGCATTGTTGTAATTCCAAACACACACATGCCGATGATGCAGTATTAACAACTGGATGACAAGGTTTTGAGCATAAATGATTGCTGCTCATAATTATATCAATTTAGTCACACGATTTCACGATTTGTCTTATATATTTTTTCTCTCTTTCTCTCTCACCAACTTCCATTTGTTGTTTCTTACCACTTTCCTTATTTCCAGTACAGGCGGCGTTGCTTCATTCTGATCGACTGCACATGTGTGGTGTTGAATCGATAAATAAAGCTTCAGTGATCCGCCTGTCTCTCTCCACCTCCCCCCACCTGACTATATTCTTTTTGAATACTCTCATCCTGTCCCACCTTAATTTGTGATTGCATGCAAGTGAATGCAGTGCAATGGCTGAGGATTTTTTTTCTAGGTTATTTAACTTATCAGGGTCTATCATCATTGTAGATTCAACTGAATTTTTATGTTCCAATAATCTAGTTGACCCGGTCTACTAGTTCGACCTATGTGTAATTAATCTGACACTCATTAATTGCATAGTATTTGGTAAATTATATCTGGTCATTACACCGACAAAGTCTGTCTCTGAGAGATTTGGTTGATTGGTTTAAATGCACCCTCCGCCCGACTAATCCCAGCCTCATTGAGAATCCTATGTAAGGCCTCTGATGTCCCTTCTTTATATGGCAGTACTGCATAAGCTTTGAATTTGATATTATTTCCGTTATTTTTGACATTTTTATCACTAATCTTAGTTTTTCTATGATTCTTCAAATATCTCTAAATAAATTCTGGTAGGCAGTTATTTTTATTTTAGTTAAAAAAAATAGATTAATTGTCAGATTTATAAATGGAACACTTTATAAACAAATTCCATAAGCCAATAGTTAAGCCGTAGGATACCCTCCAACCAGTCTCAAATTTATTGACTTTGAAAAGGCCTTCGACAGCGCAGCGTCGATCGAGGTTATTTTGAAACTACTTCATTACCAACAAGGGGTGCCGTCAACAATCATACATCTCACCCAACAGTTGTACAACAATGCTGCATGCTAATTAATCCACAAGGGGAAACTTACAGAATCCTTCGAAGATATGAAGACGGGAGTAAGACAATACCGGATGGCTGGCTGCCTATTATCTCCAATGATTGTCCTGATTGTGGTAGACTAGATAATGCGACAAAAAGCGGGGAAACAGGCATAAAATGGACCCACACAAAAACCTTGGAGGATCTGGACTTCGCCGATGATATATGTCTGATTTTCCACAAAGTGGAAGGTATGCAAGTGAAAAGCAACAAGTTGGCAGAAGAAGCATCAAAGATAGGAGGGACTTCAGGTGAACGTAGAGAAAACAGAAGTGGTGATGAAGATTCCTGGCCAATAGCAACAGCAGTAGCAACAACAACAGACAACAATCAGAATAAATGGGAGAAATCTGAAATAAGCAACCTCCTTTACCTGCATACCTACCTGGGAAGCATCGTTTCAACTACAGACGGACGGAACTGATGAAGATATCAAAGCGAGGGTCGGGGAAGCAAGACAAACTTTCATTACTCTCACAACTGTGTGGAGATCATCACTCAGCACTCAGTATGAAAAATAAGATCCGGATTTTCTACTCCGATGTGAAGTCAGAGCTACTATACGGATCACAGACTTGGCGCCACGTCACGAACGGTACTTCGAACAAACTACAGACCTTCATCAACAACTGTTTTCGCTCAATACTCAAGATCAGATAGCCAGAAATGATCAGCAAAAGGGAGGTATTTCTGACAATGAACGAATCAATCCAGCAGGAACTGGTTGTGGAACAAATATGCAGGAAGAAATGGAGTTTGAAGTGGATTGGCCATACTCTGAGAAAACAAAGCATCAAATGAGTGACATCACACGTCAGGCCATCGCTCGAGTGAAACCCGAATGGGAAGCGGCGAGTTGGTCGTCTAAGAGTGACTTGGAGCAGGATATGTGAAGAGGAGATGAAAACATGTGGGCAGGCATAGAGTCAGGTGAAAACGTTGGCGGAGAACCGAAAGCAACGGAGACGTATGGCTGAAGCCCTCCCTATGTTCCTCTAGGAACTAAAAGAAACAATAATCATAATAATCTGCAAGTGGTTCAGGGTTCGATTCCTATTAAACCACTCCTAAGCCTCACTTATTCGGTAGTCAGATGGGTAAAAGTAGGAAGGTTGGATATGAGTTTAGCAACATTATCCCGTAAACAAAAACCCCAACACTACTGCTACTGAAACTTCAATGACTGAAGCTCGAACCCCTTCATTCCACTCGGAACTCAAAGGAATGAAGTCAACAATAATAATAATAGACAATGTGTACCCATCGGATTTTTCACCTCCTTCCCCCAAAGTTGCATAGTCTCCTAAAATCTCACAAGCCTGGAAACCCAATAAAACCTCCACCCTAAATCTGTCAAACTCTTTACAGCATAAATTTGTCAAATTGGTTACGAAGATCCTTAAACCACGTAAGGGATTGTTTATCTCGACTAACTAACAAGTAACAGCATGCAAGTACTTTTACCCATCATTCATATCAGAGAAACTTTCTTGACGTGTGCACAGAAAACATAAGCTTTATCTTCCAAGGTCAAGCATACAAAAGAAAATTGGAGGTTCTCTTAGGATCCTGTTAGTGAACGTGTTTTTATGTCGACATTGGGAGAATAAACGGAAGGCATGTTGACGACCGTCGAATGACATCCCGCTCAATTCGGGACACTGCTTGCGTGGAATCCAAATGGGAAGCGACGAGGCGGTCGTCACTTTGATGGTGGCATGGAGGTCTCAAGTCATCGGTTCTTAGAATCCTGAGGACCCCAACCAGGAAGTCCACACCTCCCTACGAGGCTTAAACTAACTCTCAGAGACTTCATAGGTTAATGCCAGGTTTTGGTTTGACTACCACTAGCTAACATTTCCCGTCGAGGAAGGCGATGGGTAGGCCTGCGTAACACATGTCCCAGTCATCTCAATCGATGTAGTCTAACAACCTCATTGACTGATATTCCCTCCTCACCTAGCACTCGACCGAAACCTAACCTCAATATTACTCACCATATTATACCACCGCCAAACACGGGAGATAGACAGACAGACACCTGTAACCAAAGACAGCTAGCCGGCCTTTCATGTCTTCCAATTTCAATGGCCATGTCTCACTTACAGCCACAAAGGAGGACGAAATGAACTGTTGAGCAGTACATTCGTCTATTGATCGGCAGTCAGATATCACATCTACTCCAGAGATGGCGTAAGTTGATTTGCAGTGAGTCCAAGAGTGGCTTGAAGAAGATTTTGGGCAGCAGTCAAGCCCAACTAAAGGTGATGGTACACAATAGAAATGAAGGGTAACAAAGAATAATTATAATAATAATTACTATCATTATTGTAATAAATTATTATTTTTAATTATTGCCCAAAATACTCACCAATATTATATCAGCAAAATGAACAATCATAAAGGCTATTTGATTATTCATCAAATGAAATATACTTATTAGTAAGCATTGAACACCTTGAATGTAATGCTTTTCATTTTCAAATACTTCATAAGCATTTCCACAACAAAATCTTTTCTTTACATATTCTTTTAAAGCTTTTATTCCATCCAATTGAACTGGAATATTATATCTTTCATGTAACATTGAACAAATATAGTTCGGAATAATTTGTATTGATTCTGATGCTAGATGAGTAGTAGGTAAATAGTCATGTAATGAATCTACACTATACACTGATGACTCATTCAATGACTCAGGTAATATTATCGATTCATGTAATGTATTATCTGTAGTAGGAGTGGTATTAAGGTCATTTGTAGTGTTTTCAATGTCCAATGAATAAAACATTCCTGGTTTTATACATCTTAAAGCATTTTCATAGTCTAACTTATTCATATTCAATTTTATTAATTTCATAATTTTTAAACAAAATAATTTAATCTTAGAATGTAAGCTGTTTGATTTATCTATAAGTAATTTAATTGTCATAACAATTTCAAAAAAATCTACTCCATACATTGGCATTGTTTTAATCAGATGATTTAGTTTATTTAAACAACGAGTGTGTTCCGCTGGATTTGAAATTGTACATATACCAAAAAATATTAAAATACGTATTGGCGGGAAAATATTTTTACAATGAATGACATAAATACAAATACATTCCCAGGTGTATTGATCAATTCTTGACTGTTTATACAATAAATTTGAGGCTATATTCAATTCTAGCCTGTACATTAATCTATTCTTTAATTTAATTGAAAATAAGCGATTTGAAAATAATTGTTTCAATGTTTCAATGCATTTTTTGTTTAAATCATCTAATCCACGGTAGGTTGTTAAAATGTATGATATAAATTTGCCTAATACATTAACAGAATGTAAAGAGAAGTCTTCTATTTTGTAGTGATAGATTAAATCATTTAATAAATTATAAGTATGCTTTATAAATTGATTTATATCAATCTCTTTAGAGTAAATTTGATTAATGCGGTCTACAAAGTGTTGATCTTGTATTTCTGAGATATGTGACATTGATATTGTTATTATGTGATAAGTGATAAGGATATTTGAAACATTATCGGCATTAGATAGTTTTTATATAAGCAAAAGATCCTAAATGATTCATAGATGGCATTTATCGTCAGTAATTAATGCATTGGCTAGAATCAGACTGTTCAATTGCGCTTAGAAAGTATAATTATATATAAATCAGAAAAAGTCACAGTGACCTTATGATCATAAGAAAATAATCAATAAGTAAAAACACAAGAGAAAAGAGTACTTTTTTTGGCGGGGGTGTATAGTCTGACCTTGAAACAGTAGGACAACGAAATAGTCAAAAAGAAAAGTGCGATTTGATCATTATATATTTATTATTATTTTATTGTTCCCTTGGGTTCCTAGTGGAACATAAGGCTTCAACTGCACGCCTCCACTTGCTTCTGTCTTCTGCTGTACTTTTCACCCGCGTCCATGTTAATCCATACTGTTTCAATTCCTCTTCGCACGATCTCCTCCATGTCACCCTTGGACGTCCCACTCGCTGCTTCCCTTTCGGGTTCCACTCGAGCGATGGCCTGATGCGCGATGTCACCCAGCGGCCTCCTCAGCGAGTGTCCAATCCATCTCCACTTTCTCCTGCATATTTGTTGGGCGATTGCTTCTTGGTTTATTTTTGTTCCCCTAGTTTCTTGTTGGTGATTCTTTCCTGCCAGCCATCTGATCTTCACTATAGAGCGAAGACAGCTGTTGATAAAGGTCTGCAACAGGCTGTTGGAAATATTCTTTGTGACACACTGGCCAAGTTTCTGATCCATCCGTATAGAAGAACTGACTGACTTGACGTTTGTATTGAAAATACGAATTTTGTTGTTGATGCTGAGTGAAGTGACGAAGATTTCCATATTGGTTTCAGGTTGGTGAATGTGTTTCTCGCCTTCCTGATTCTCGATTTGACATCCTCGTTGGTTCCTCCTGTAGTTGAGACAATGCTCCCTAGATAAGCGAATGAAGTAACCTCTTTCAAATCCCTCCCGTTGATGGTGACTGGCACTGGATGTTGCTGCTGTTGTTGTTGTTGGTTGGTTATTTTCATAACCTCCGTCTTGTCTCTGTTCACTTGGAGTCCTGTCTTCTCTGGCTGCTTCTTCGGCCAGTTTGTCGGCTTTCGCTTGTAAGTCTTCGATTTTGTGTGACATCAAACATAAATCATCCACGCGCGAAATCCAGGTCTTCTAGGTTCTTCACGTCGGTCAAGGATATCCCTGTCTTCTCGTTTCCCACTGTCTGACGCATAATCCAGTCCACCACAATTAGGAATATCATTGGTTTATATACATATTTTCGTCGTGATCTGGCATCATTTGGAGACATCACCATGGAGAAACATGGATCACTGGACAGCTGTTTCGTCCTAACTCTTCAGCAATGCGCAATAACGACTCCACCATGGATAAAGCCATGAACTTCCAGGTTGCAAGACCAAGCTGCTTGACGATTCAGTGTTCTAATCTAAGTGATCAGTTGAAATAAACTCGTCTCCAAGTTGTTATAGACCTGTCACTGATTAAATATGATTGCGTTGACAGTTGATATAAACGAGTGGATTTATGCGTGTGGGTATAATAATACTGACATAATGAACAACTCAGTTGATATGTTAGATACACCTCTTCGTTCGTGATGTTTTCCGCTTCCCTGAGCCACGTTAATGTCAAAAGGGGCCTGTGACTTTTAGGGTACAACATTTTTATTAGGAGAAACCATATCGTATTTAAATATTTTCAACCACATTAAAATATGACTAAGGCAGTGGAAATAGAATGTTCTGGTTGGTAGGCGACTCGTCTAGGTCAGCAAAAAATAAAGGCAACTCTAAACAATAGGAACCCAAACCGAAACGACCTACGAACGCACAAACGACCTTGTTAAGGACAACTTCGACCAATCAGAATGCTCAAAAAAACGGCGCATAATTGTAAAAAAATCGTTTATATAAAAGTAAAGCAATGTTAAAAAATAGTTACAAAGGATAAAGTTCTTGTATATGTTGCAAAAAAAGCTCCCAGTTTCTCATAGGAGTCTTTATACTCATGTTAAACCAACTTCTGTACATAAACTCATCCAGATAACTGTATATCATTGGATTTCTTGATCCGTTCACGAATCTAATCCTTTTTTCAGGTGACTCCAGAAACTTTCGATGCAATTAGTATGAGTTCCATCCAAAGGATTGCGAAAACCGTCTGTGTGATTGACTACATGATGAATATACCCGAGATTCGACAATTGACCATAACTACTCCATTCGTCTGTGTGAATAGTGGTCCCGGGCAGCACTAAGCGCTGGATAATAGGCAATAATACACCAGCACTGCGATTAGGAATCGCAGTAGAGGTGTAGAGCATCCATAATTACTTCTAGAAACAACAGAGTCACCTGATTGGTTTCTCAAGGTCGTTTGTGCGTTCGTAGGTCGTTTCGGTTTGGGTTCCTATTGTTTAGAGTTGCCAAAATAAATATTCTGATTGATTGGCGAGTAGCCCATAGCCCAGGTAAGAAAAAGATGTCAAAGTTAAAAAACTTAAAGCACCATTAGGCGCCAACGGATAAATGACCTTGAACGCACCAACCGCTTGATAAAGGTGATTTTTGCGTTTAAAACACATATATTCATTTTCAATAGTTGATTTGTAAGGATTAGATTTGTTTTTGTTTTTTTTTGAGCTAGATAACGGATTGATATCAGTTAGAGAACCATTGAAAACCAGTACTGAACAGCTATTTCCTCAGTCCTAGTTTGGTACTCATCGACAGTACGCACTCACCCCAGGAGTTCTAACCCAGGACCTTCCAGCTACAAGGCAAGCTCGTAGACCATTCAGCCACTGGGACCTGATTCAATGGTCAGCCCATGAATTCTAACTTCTAACATTTCATGATTTTTAGCGCAACCATCGAACAATATCACTGGTGGGAACTCCATCCTCACTCCCGATTGCATGGACCTCATTGGTCACGAAATTTATTTTTCATTTTTTTTATTACAGCTTGATGCCACACCGTATTTTTGTTACAAGTATAGAATTTTCACCATGTGATATCGGTAGCCCAAATTTTGCAGACCAACCACTGATATCAGGTGTGAGTCGGTGGGGGATCGAACCCCGGACCATGTGCATGGTCGGTGAGAGTCCTAACCACTGTGCCACCGATGCGCTACAAATCATGAATTGGTAGAAGTTAGAATTCATGGGTTGGCCATTGAATCAGGTCCCAGTGGTTGAATGGTATACAAGCTAGCTTACCTTGTAACCGGAAGGTCCTGGGTTCGAACTCCTGTAGTGAGTGAGTACTGCCGATGAGTCCCGAACCAGGACTGAGGAAACAGCTGTCCAGTACTTCTTGTTTTTCAATGGTTCTCTAACTGATATTAATTCGTGGTGTAACACGAAAAACATATATTTATGAAAATAATAAATCAAAAGGCATGAGACTGTTACACAGGATACCTTTCTCTGACCTGTGATACAAATTAACCACATTTTATGCAGCCAAATTAAGAGAAAGATGGTGAAAATCTACAGTCATCTGACCCCATAATGAGCCATATAATGAATTACAAGGTGATTTATTTTTCCTTTTCATCTTACAGCCACTTGGTTCGAAACCCACGACCCCTAAATCTTAACTTTCTATAACTTGAATTATGATTTTGTCAAGTGAAGGTACTTGACAGAGGTGTTCATTCTTATGATAACTGGAAAGTTTGATTGGATGGAGGATTTCATCATGAGCTGACATCAGTTACAGAACCATTGGAAAACCACCTGGGAGTAGTAGACAGTTGTTTCGTCCTATTTTGGGGCTCTTCATCGGTATGCATCCACCGGGGTTCAAACCCAAGACTAGTAGGGTGCAGCAGGTTGAAGATGAGGCAGTAACTCATCGAAGAAAACATTGTGAAATGGTCACGATATGTCGTGAATTGGCAGAAGTTAGAATTCATGGGCCGTTGGATAGGGTCCCAGTGGCTCAAGGGTCTACGAGCTCGCTAGCCCTGTAACCAGAAGGCCCTGCTGAAGGGTTCCAATCTAGGACAAAACAGCTGTCCAGTACTTCCAGGTTTTCCAGTGGTTCTCTAACTGATATCAGCTCATGATGAAATCCTCCATGCAATCAAACAAAATCCCTACAAAATCAATACTTGAAAACTGGAAAGTTATCAAATAAGTTTGTTGGTTTATTTTTCTTCCTAGGTGTGAAATTTTAATTAACAGTTGATCTAAATCTGAATGAAGAAGCAGAAAAATTTAGAATTCATGGGCTAGGGGATGCCATCCCAGTGGCTGAGCTGATCTTGTAACCTTACAGGAAGGGTATTGAATGCTTAGCGGTGGAGTCACGAGTGCGTACTGCTGAAGAGTCCAAAACAAAGGCGATACAACTGTGCAGTACTTCCTGGTTTTCAAACTAAAGTAAGTACATCATCAATCTTGAAAGAATGAGGTGACTGAAATTCCAAACAACTTCTGAACAGCTGGACAAACTTTGGTAGAAATCACATTACTAAAACAAAAAAGGGTTTAATTGACTGACTGACAGTCATCATTTTACACCAATCAGAAAGCAGATAAGATTTAAAACTCCTAATTTAAGCGGTTCAACACACACCATTGCAACGCTTTTTATCTTAATCAATAACTAGGAAGCAAGACTAGAGTTCATCAGTTTGAACAAGGGAACAAAATCGAGCATTTAGAATCTTATGAAAAAAAAGAAGTTCATCAGCGAAGAGTCACACTCCCCTTTTCGACGACATCATTCTCAAACTGTGCAATCACATGATATATAGTTATTTTCTTAGCAACAAAATGAATTTTTCAAAGATTTGTCGCTAAGACTGTAAGATTTTACAAATCAAATTACGTTAATTAGTTCGATTCCATGTTAGTTTGTTTATTAGATGTGTCAGACAGTCAGTGAAACAGTATTATTTACTGGATAAAGTTTCGAACAAAATTTATTGTTC